GGAGGTAAAGGGTGCGATGCCGACTCACTCATTTATCTCATGAGGTTTGTTTTTTTTTGTTTGTTTTTTGTTTTTATCTATTGGCAGTGATAAAAGTTTTTTTTTTATTCTTTGATTTTTGTCAAAATATAAATGTAAATAAGAAATAGAAGAAAAGCCATATCTATGTTGTGAGGTGCAGGACTCTGTGCTGTATGATAGGTAAGAGACGTGTGATCTAATGTGGAAATATACACTCTCCCCCCCCCCTTTTTATTCTATCTCTCTTCCCCCTGGGTGGTGACTGCCCTCTTACTAAGATTAGCTTTGTAGTAATGCGACATATAACCTAAGTTCAGAAACCGATGTTTGGCTGGAAAAAACTATCTTTTTAATTATACCAGTTCAGCAACTTCCTGTCCCACTAGTTGATGGCTGTATAGAGATATTGTTAAGAGCAACTGAACATATCAAGGTTTTAGGACGATTGTGAAAAAAACTCTTCTGAGTAAAGACAGATAAGCTTAATATGCTCCCAGAAGGGGTTCCTGATGTCACCCATTCACTTTCTACTGGCACATCTGGTGTTGGATACCCCAGAAGAGAAGCATGTACATTACCTTCTGTCTAGAACTCTTATTGGTTCACTGTATCAGGAGTGCAGGGTTACAGTATCTAAACTTATTACATGCAAGAATGATATACTAGAAGCAAACCAAACAGCATATTTACTCTCAACAACCTGCCTATAAAATTAGTTCCCTGTATTTCAAGTTCAGTTTGAACACTATCAAGATTTTTAAGTGTAAGCGAATTTCTGCTTGCTGTGTGTATTACCTGCACTATACAATAACTTTATTTATTTTATGTATGTGCCTGGTATACTCCTTTTATTTATACTTATTTGATTTTACTATAAAAATTACTATTAGTAGCCATTTTTCTTTTAATTTAAGAACCAAAGCTGTCTTTTTGTGGAAATAGTTTGGAGGGAGTAGTGGACCCCTTGTATCAAGTTTTGAGGTTCAAGGACTGAATGAATATCTGTATCACTGACACATATGTTTTTATATATTCACTGTTCAATCAGATGATTTGTATTATAGTAAATTAAACAGTCACTCTTAGGAGTAGACATCATTACCACAGAGCAGATTAAACCAGTGCTCTGCGCATTTTACTGCCATCCAGGTTGCAAAGAATCTGATCAAGTACAAGTTTAAATTCTGCATTTTAAGGGCATAACAATAGTTACCAATGATAGCTTGTCAGAATGCTCCAAAACAATGGGACAAAAGAATATGGAAGATTACATCCATAAAATTTTGGCTCCATAACTCCTAAGTTCAGTTGGAGTTGTTATAATGACTGGGATGTCTCTTAAAAACATAATAAATATTAATTTGTTATAGTGTTTTGATTATTGGTTATTTACTTTATCTTTTAATTTTCAAAAATAGTCATTTTTATATTAGTTATTTAGTGTATATTGATTTCGTTTCCATTATGTTTGTTATTTAGGTCTTTTTTTAAAATTGAATTTACATTATTATATTTTTGTATTGGTTAATTTATTTTGATTTATTTCCCATGACTATATTTATGTTAGTTAAGTCTGGTGCCGGTAAGCTCTGCCACTTCCACAACAGTTTAAGTCTGATGCTTGAAGCAGGAGGCCTCAGAATGGATGCCACTGTTATGATCAGGACCACAGTAGCTCCCCATTCATACAATGGAGTAATTCTTTCAGCCTATCTACAGCAAACAGTCCAAGGTTTCTTATTTCAAGCCTCACACTCATAGGGATGTAGAGGAGGTAGAGCTGCAAGCAACCGGACAGAAGATTTGGGGAATATCCCGTTCGATAACAGTTTAACCCCAGTTTAACATAGTCCCAGAGTATTCCTTTCATTTTTTGTGATTGTAGTTTTTTTTTTAATACTTGTTCTTTTAATTTCATTTTTATATAACTTATTTAATTTCTTTGTATGTAATATTCATTATTATTTTAATATTATATTATTTTGATTTTCAGCAATATTATTTTGAAGTTGGTTATTTAGTTTATATTTCTTTAATTTTAGATTAGTGCACAAATCCCTTTCAGCTGCATTGAATGAATCAAATGACTGTTAATAGATGGACAAATCAATCGAATTGTTAGGCATTCTCTGACTCAAATTGTTCATCCATCAGTTAACAGGTATTTGATACACTCAATGTAACTGAAAGTGATTACTGCACTAATTAAATGTATAGTTATACATAATGCAGTAGTATATATTGTTTATTTTGATTTCTTTTCTGCTATGTTTTTGTTAGTTATGTTAGTTTTTGTTAGTTATGTGGCATATTATAATTTTATTAATTTCTATGATTCTATTTTTATATTAGTTATTTACACTATTTTGATTTAGTGTTAGCGATTTCTTTTTATTACTTGCAAAGCTTATTATGATGGAATTTCCATGATTATTTTATTTATTTGTTATTATTTTGTTTATTTGTTATTATTTACAGTATTATTATTTCATTCCTATGATGCTTTCAGTATAAATTATTTACATTAATTTAATTTAATTTACATGATTATGTTTCTAGGGGCGATACCACAGTAAATAATTGTATAATTTACTGATTATTTATTTCACATAGGTGGTTCGCCAATTGTATTTGATTCCAATGATTATTTTATATTAGTTTATTTATATTGATTAACCATGATTATTTTATTTGTTACTTAGATTATAATGATTTGTTTTCCACGATTTATTCATATATTAGTTATTTACATTATTATTATTTTATTCTCTTGATTATTTTTAATATCATTTTGGTTAGTTACCTTTAATTACCATGACTATATATTTATTTAGTTATTTACATGATTATAATTGTCTTCCTGTGATGCTTTTTGTATAAATTATTTACATTAATTTAATTTAATTTACATGATTATGTTTCTAGGGGCAATACCACATTAAATAATTGTATATAAAAAATAATTTACAGATGATTTATTTTGGGTAGGTGGTTTGCCAATTGTATTTGAATCCATTGATTATTTTATATTAGTTTATTTACATTTATTAGCCATGATTATTTTATTTGTTACTTAGATTATAATGATTTGTTTTCCATGATTTTTTAATATATTAGTTATTTACATTATTATGATTTTTTTCTTTTATTATTTTTAAGTTAACTTTAATTACCATGACTATATATTTAATTTAGTTATTTACAGGATTATTTTTTCATTCCTATGATGCTTTCAGTATAAATTATTTACATTAATTTAATTTAATTTACATGATTATGTTTCTAGGGTCGATACCACAGTAAATAATTGTATATAAAATATAATTTACTGATTATTTATTTCACGTAGGTGGTTTGCCAATTGTATTTGATTCCAATGATTATTTTATATTTGTTTATTTACATTGATTAACCATGATTATTTTATTTGTTACTTAGATTATAATGATTTGTTTTCCACGATTTATTCATATATTAGTTATTTACATTATTATTATTTTATTCTCTTGATTATTTTTAATATAATTTTGGTTAGTTACCTTTAATTACCATGACTATATATTTAATTTAGTTATTTACATGATTATAATTTTATTCCTGTGATGCTTTTTGTATACATTATTAACATTAATTTAATTTAATTTAATTTACATGATTATGTTTCTAGGGGCAATACCACATTACATAATTGTATATAAAAAATAATTGACTTATTATTTATTTTGGGTAGGTGGTTTGCCAAATGTGTTTGAATCCATTGATTATTTTCTATTAGTTTATTTACATTTATTAGCCATGATTATTTTATTTGTTACTTAGATTAAAATTATTTGTTTTCCATGATTGATTTATATATTAGTTATTTACATTATTATGATTTTATCCTCTCGATTATTTTTAATATAATTTTGGTTAGCTAACTTTAATTACCATGACTATATATTTAATTGAGTTATTTACATGATTATAATTTTATTCCTGTGATGCTTTTTGTATAAATTATATACATTAATTTAATTTACATGATTATGTTTCTAGGGGCGATACCACAGTAAATAATTGTATATAAAATATAATTTACTGATTATTTCACGTAGGTGGTTTGCCAATTGTATTTGAATCCATTGATTATTTTATATTAGTTTATTTACATTTATTAGCCACGATTATTTTATTTGTTACTTAGATTATAATGATTTGTTTTCCATTATTTTTTTATATATTAGTTATTTACATTATTAAGATTTTTTTCTTTTATTATTTTTAAGTTAACTTTAATTACCATGACTATATATTTAATTTAGTTTTTTACAGGATTATTATTTCATTCCTATGATGCTTTCAGTATAAATTATTTACATTAATTTAATTTAATTTACATGATTATGTTTCTAGGGGCGATACCACAGTAAATAATTGTATATAAAATATAATTTACTGATTATTTATTTCACGTAGGTGGTTCGCCAATTGTATTTGATTCCAATGATTATTTTATATTAGTTTATTTACATTGATTAACCATGATTATTTTATTTGTTACTTAGATTATAATGATTTGTTTTCCACGATTTATTCATATATTAGTTATTTACATTATTATTATTTTATTCTCTTGATTATTTTTAATATAATTTTGGTTAGTTACCTTTAATTACCATGACTATATATTTAATTTAGTTATTTACATGATTATAATTTTATTCCTGTGATGCTTTTTGTATATATTATTAACATTAATTTAATTTAATTTAATTTACATGATTATGTTTCTAGGGGCAATACCACATTACATAATTGTATATAAAAAATAATTTACTTATTATTTATTTTGGGTAGGTGGTTTGCCAAATGTGTTAGAATCCATTGATTATTTTCTATTAGTTTATTTACATTTATTAGCCATGATTATTTTATTTGTTACTTAGATTAAAATTATTTGTTTTCCATGATTGATTTATATATTAGTTATTTACATTATTATGATTTTATCCTCTCGATTATTTTTAATATAATTTTGGTTAGCTAACTTTAATTACCATGACTATATATTTAATTGAGTTATTTACATGATTATAATTTTATTCCTGTGATGCTTTTTGTATAAATTATATACATTAATTTAATTTACATGATTATGTTTCTAGGGGCGATACCACAGTAAATAATTGTATATAAAATATAATTTACTGATTATTTATTTCACGTAGGTGGTTCGCCAATTGTATTTGATTCCAATGATTATTTTATATCAGTTTATTTACATTGATTAGCCATGATTATTTTATTTGTTACTTAGATTATAATGATTTGTTTTCCACGATTTATTCATTATATTAGTTATTTACATTATTATTATTTTATTCTCTTGATTATTTTTAATATAATTTTGGTTAGTTACCTTTAATTACCATGACTATATATTTAATTTAGTTATTTACAGGATTATTATTTCATTCCTATGATGCTTTCAGTATCAATTATTTACATTAATTTAATTTAATTTACATGATTATGTTTCTAGGGGCAATACCACATTAAATAATTGTATATAAAATATAATTTACTGATTATTTATTTCACGTAGGT